CAGCTCTCATGTTTATATTCGGAATCAGCGTGATCGAATACCTATAACCCACTGGGTTTGGCTGAAAAGGCGAGATAACAGTTCGAAAGGTTCCCTCTTCAGTTATTAAAGTTTCAATTGTGTATCCACCCCAAATCCGGACGATTGATGTCTTTTTCCGAGGAAAACTTGTTCACTAGTTCCAATACCTTATGTAGGTAACTTGGTATGCTCTGCAATCCGACACTATCAGAGTTTGTGTAAACTGAAGATTGCAATGAGTTTTTTGAGAATCTGAATTTGAACAAAGATTCTGAAGGATTGATTGTATGGGAAGGAACGGATATCAGATTCATTTGCAGTATAAAAAATCACCCATAATAAAGCAGGTTTCAATTCAAAATCGAGGAGACTTAAAAAGCTTCAATCATTAGTGAATTATTGTACAAATATCACAACAGGATATGTAACATTGGTGAATAAATAAAATTTTTTATGTTTACGTGTTGAACGTTGATGAACTCGACATGCCACCGATGTTTGGTCCGCCTCCACCAATTGTATTCTCTTTATTCTGAAACGTTTGTAACATTTGGAGAAAATCTTGAGCGGATGGTAAATGTCCAGTTTGTAATTTGGACCATAACGGAACATCATTAACAAATATTTCAAAGGCGCCTGTTGACATCAAAAATGATTCTATTGAATTTGAAAAAAAGAATAACATTAAACACGAATAAATTTTATTTTGCAATGCCCATTGGAATACGGACGGGGTTGCTAAGCCAGCAATGGTGAATGGATTCTGCCCTAATACAATACACACAAGAAATAACATTTTTAAAATACTTAAACATTGTGCTAAAACAGATTTGTACACTGGTGGTGGATAATTTTCACCAACAACAGATAATTGAGGATAATGTGTTCGAATGAGTTGAGAAAACTGTTCAAACACATTACGATATCTAAATAAAAAAATAATAGAAACCCATAGAGAGAAGAGAAATAATGAATAATAGCAAACAGTTACCCTCAGCTGTGACAATAAAGAAATTTTACGACTGGAACTGCGAATGACGTTTTCATTTTTGGTATTGGTATATCACTTTGTGATGACGCAAAAATAGGCGAACTAGCAGAAGGTTTGGATTCTTCTTTTGTCGAATTGATGTACGTCCGATGAAGATCAAAGCACGTCAAAAGCACAACTGTGCCTAGGACGAACAAGAATGCTCTGTCCAACATCTAAAAATAAATGGAAATAAAGTGATTGAAAAGATATTATCGTTGACTTAAAGTCAGTCTTTTATTTTTAGCAATTTTTTTGTTTACTTTCTTTTTAACGCCATGTTAAACTAAAGCTAAATCTGGTCATTTAAACAATTCTTTTCTAAAAAGTTCAACGGTGATCGACGACTTGTCAAAACTCTCAATGCTCCTATTAATACTGCCATTGTTTTGTGAATTTCTCATTGTGCATATCTAAGTGTCTTCTTTGTCTCTGACTATTTTTCCCTGCATCCTTTCACTCTTCGTTCAGTACTCTTACGAGTATTTAACCTTAGTCTGGTCAACTGAAGTCTCTTTTGTCATGTAATACAAACGAATAAAAAACCGACTGATCTTTCTAGTTCGGCACTGTCCATTCAAAGGGCGACAGACGTTAGGACTGCCCTGTAAAAAAAGTAATGTTAAAATATGACATGGATACATGATTTTCGACTTCCACCGTAGCTTTCTTTTAGTAATGATCATGCGTAACAGAGGTAGCGCTGGAGTAAACAACCAAAAGGAGGAAAAAAAATGGCATGTAAGTCAAGAACTGAAGTAGGAAAGTGCTCATATAATGAACAGTATATTTTTTAATACTTTTCATCTTCAGCCTATATTAAAAAAAAAGAATACTGATGCGCTTCCATTTTAAAAGCACACAAAACAAATGCTTGGATGCGTAATTCATCCAGAATGCATTTGTTTGAAATAAGAGCTAATCATCTTATATACATACCCTCAGTTTCTAATGATTGGTGGCCCCCATGAGAGCAAAGTAGTTTTCCAGTTTATATTAGGTTAGGCCACGTTCACACTACAAAAGTTAAACGAGCAAAAACGAAGCTGATTGGTCAAAAAGTTAACTCTGAGTTAAGTGATGATGTTTTCGACATCATTTAAAATTAACTCTCCAATCAAAAATGAGCTCAAGAACCAATAATATGGATCCATTACACATTACACAAGGGAAGTAGCTCCGTTCGGTAGGGAAACAAACATCTGACTCTCTACTCAAGTTTTCTGTTTGAGCTTAAAAAGTAAATTGTAGAACATAAGTTCAAACCGGCCGGCTGTAAGCAAGCCGCAACCTAAGCAGTACAATCTTAGGGGAAACGTCCAAATCTTATTGGTGTATTAAACATTTAGGTGTGAACGCCCTGGAAGTTAACTGTGAAAAATTTGTAGTGTGGACGTACCCTTAAAAAATTCGATATCCACTCTGTTTTTAGCAGGGAAACCATGGAAAATGCAATGGTAAACCGTGGAGCACCACTTTGCTTAAAATTCTCATTAGAAACACTGACTCTAATCTCAACTGTCAGTTATGAGCAAAAAAACTTCCAAAAACGATTCAAAAGTATTTTTCACACGCTCTTTTCAACAATATATTTGAATTTATTATTTATCTACTTTCAAACAGAACTTATTTAAGGATTAAAAGCAAGTGAAGTTTTTAATTTTTACTGATATATTCTTTAACCCGACACTAACAGAATTTGTTCAAATGAAAGCGGTCAATGTGAAAGAATATTATTTAAAACACCTAAGACTAGAGATTTATGAAAGTTGAAAATACGTATACATACCGTCCTGCTAGCTCTTTATCGAGATATTTTGCAGCTAATCGTGATCCATAAACTTCACTTTGTAAATTGATAATACTATTTTTTAATTTTACATTTTCTTTTTCTAACTCATTTGCTTTTATTTCCCACACAGCATCACGTTTGAATTCGCTTCTTTGACGATTTAGTTGATCTTCCTTAAAAGCAAATAGAGTACATAATAGAAATTTGGTTATTTTCTTAAAATGACATACTAATCGTTTTCTTATTGTATCCGCTCCCTCTATTTCTTGATTTTTTAATATTTGACATTCTAACTGTGAAGCATGCAGTTGAGCCATAATGTCTTTAATTTGTTGTTGCATTGCGACTTTTTCAGCTTTTGTCTCAATTATTTCAGCTTTTGTATCGATCAACTGAGCCTACAAAGAAAATTCGCTCATGTGACAAATATCATACGACTAGACAGTCAAATATATGTACCTCCATTTTAGCATTAGTTTGTGATAATGTCTGTGTTTTGTGTACTAATTGAGCCCAAGATGAACTTAAAACCGTCAATTTTCCCCGTCCTTCATCTGTAATTTCAGATTGATCTGGATCTATTTCATATAAATATAGAACGTTGTACTAATAACGAAAATTAAAGAAAAAAGATAGAATAACTGTTCACCTTACCTATTTCGCCCAAAAGTAAATCTAAATCCACAAATGTTTTATCAAATTCTTGTTCCAGTATATCAAGCCATCGAAATCCGTTGGCCGCAACCGACACAGCCATAGTTATTTAAGTTGAGATACACCAGAAATTAGTATATAATAATAAAAATTTAATAAGTTCTCATTTCTTCGTTATGTCATTATAACAAGTAATATATATTCTTTTTTCTGTACACCTATGGAATCTCAAATACGCAAGACTTAGGCAAGTATTATCTACTAATTAATAAAGTACTATTGACTGAGTTAAAGAATATTAATTACTTTTATTAGTAAATTAGATAGATAAATAAATTTTATTATTTGTCCTGTTTTTTCACTTCTATTCTAACGTCCCTATTGATTATGTGAATTGTGCCAATCAACGATTGAAAAATAAACAGATCAGTACAAGTGCCATATGATAAGATAACTTAGTACCATTTGCTAGTTGTAAAAATAGTGCTAGATTAACTCATGAACAAAAATGACGAATTGATCACTCAGCAGTGAACAAAAAGTTTTTCTTCTTTTTGTATAAAATAACGCTTTCTAAGTGCGTCCTCTGTTTCAGTATTTTATTCTAACATATTTCTCTTTCTCTAAAATCAGTTCAAAGGAGTCATGTCAATGCAACGTAAATAAAAGCTGAATTTTTTTGTATTGTTCGTTTCGTGTTCTTTTGAAAACTTTCTGAAATTTCGTGTATAATAAATTGTTGGAGGAACACGTTTCACAGAGCTCAAATGTCCCTCTTTTGGTGTTGGTTTGAGTCATTGTTATTACAGGTTGGTGACCTGTGATGAATCTCACTTTTTGTGAATAAACAGTCTTATGATTAGTCTTAGCAGAGCTCAAATGGCCATTAAACCAATGTGAGAAGGAAGTGAAGCCAGATTAACTTAGGAGCGTGTTTCGTTTTGTCAATATTCTTAAGTTCGTGAAATCAGGCACAGACTTGAAGCAGCTGAAAGAGTGTTGATGAAATGATTTCTGAAGTGACAAATTGT